GTGGAGACAGAGAAGAGCTCGTGCTCCGATTCGTCGACACAGGTGTCACTCGCTGATGCCGATGCCTTGTACAGTGGGGTGAACTCCACTCTCCAACCACGACTGGATCCAGTCAGGTTTTCCCACTGCTCCTCTACTTCCTCTGTTCCTCTGATCCCTTGCCAGATACCCACTCCCACTGCCAGAGATAGAGACAGGGTGACAGAACGAGGGGGCTTGAACGACGATGAATGTCTGAAGAGTTTGGATCAAGATGTGATTCATAACACTTGCCCTCTGTATCACTCTACCATGGCTCCCTCTCTGACCTCTCATCCATGAGCCTCCAAGCTAGCTGTCTGAATAGGGACACTATGGACACTCAAGGACCATCACTGAGCAGCAGCAAGCACGCTCTGGGTTATCAATCCTCAAGCACCTCGGAGTCCACACAGAGACTGTAGAGTACTCTAGAGTATGAGAACGCAACAAAGTGCCTCTGAAAATGGAGAGTGCAACTAAAAGTTCCTTTCACAGAAAAGACTATTATAGGACACACCACAATACATCATAACTGTTATAATAAAGGACAATTTCAGACACTACCCAGTGGACTGCGTCAGTCATGGACTCTCATGACAAAAAGAAATCTCCAATAAAAACTGTTACAAAAATATTGAAGCTGTTAACTACATGGAAAATCTAAGCATCAGACAAATCAGTGGTTTAGCCAGGGGAAATTTAGGTAGAACCAGTAGAATTTTAAATGTAAATGTTTATACTGAAATGTGATAAGACATGCAGCTTAGAGGTTACAGATTGTTTCGTTATATTTTAAGTGGAGTTATCTGTATTTGTTTTTTTTAATATAAGTTCTATCCTATTGCTAAGGTCTGTTTCAAAGAAAGGGAGTCATCATCAGACACACAAGGACATTCTTTTTTTTTACCAGAGTAAGCTAACATTTTCATACACAGAAATGTTATTATCCGATATATTTCTTTGCAACTGTGTAATAGTTGTTATAAAAATGTTCTTTATGTGGCAGCAAAATGCAACAGGAAACAGATCAGTTTCACATGGTTTACATGATTTTGTCTCAAATATGCAACTCTGCCCCACAGGAGGGAAGCAGGTATACAGACTGAGTGGGATGTAGCTATCTTTCTACAGACATTAGAGTAGGCTAGCGATATGTACATACAATGTAACTACCTCTGAACTAGCATGGTATTGACTCACTACAGCCTTATGATGTTTGTCTCCCTTTTTATATGATAGACAGCAAATATATAATTTTATATATAAAAAAAATAAATTCTTAGTTTGTAAAAAAAAAAACTTGCTATTTAGGATGTACATACTTTGTAAACAACTGGTAAGCATATGTTTGAATAAAATTATTATCTTCATACTGTAAATACATCAACCACTCTGCTTATATAATGAAACACACACACCACACAGGAAGTTATAGTATTGTTCAAAATAAACTTTAATATTACAACAGAGACATACAAATTATACATATAAATATGTAGATATGTGAGATAGATATTAGTACACTACACGACATAAACATTTAAAATCAAACTCTTTACAAGTAAACAGGTGTATAAGGCAACGTGGCTGCAGAGAAGAGAGACCTGTGGCTCTAACAAGCACGCAAAATCTACATACAGCTTCTCTTTGCTGGCTCCTCCGCCTCCTGCTGTGCACCAAAAACCTCTCTTTTGCGGGATGTAGCTTTCTGATCTAGATTATTTTCTTTGTTGCCATCCACGACTCCCTGAACAAAGACAGATACAAACTATTTTAGACAATGACAGCATTGCCCATCAACGCTCCTCCACATCCAAAAGACTGAGAAGTGTGAAATGTGTCATTTGAGTATAAATCACACAGTCTGCATCCATTTATTCCAAGTAAATATTAAGTTAGTAGACAACAATCTATTGCAGGAGCACAGCACCACCTTGTGGGTAAAATATACTACTACACACAGCTAATACAATGACAGACAATGCAGTGTTGTGGCACAAGTCACAATAATTATGTCACTGAGTACTAATAATGCGCCTCCTCTCGAGGGTCAGTAAGTAGAGGTTAATGAGGCAAACGTTTTCAAACATGAGCACAGTAAACTTACCATGTTCTTCTGAACAGCATGTTCTTGTGTCCACTTCCTGGCTTTCTCCGTGAACAACTGTTTGTTGTATTTGAACTCTGATGACTGCATTTGAAAAATGTAAGCATTCCTTTACAGGTGTACATGGTGGAGATACACAATTGATCACAGTATCACAAATCAAATGCTCTCTACTTTATTTTTAAGATATACTTTTGAGACAAAGGGTAAAGGTGTTTCTGAGTGATATCTAAACAAGCTATTCTTGCATTTAGCAAAACCTCTGGCTTGTAATAAAATGCATACTATAAAAAGTAATCAATTCTTTTCCAGGTACAAATGTATGTTTTTAGTCCTCAGCCATTCTAATGTCCAAAAAATATTGTTTTGCAGAAGCTCTATTGTCACATATCCATATCTATATTGGAATATTCACTAAACAAATAAAACCACCGCAGTGTGATTGTGTATCAAGGTTATGCTACTCTAATAGATAGTATGATGTTATGTGAGTGCAAGATTATGTGTGACTCACAATATCAGCCATCAGTGGGTCGTCTGGATTGGGCTCAGCCATGAGTAGCTGAATGGAGGTGAGCACTGTGGAGATGTTTAAGGATGGCTTCCAGGCACCCTGAATAAAAAGTGGAAAATAATTAATATGACAAATATTCGCTGGTATATCTGCTAATTTATTTTACAGCAGACAATTAAAACCATATGATGGAAGCAAAACAGAATCAAAATTTTAGTTTGTAATCAGTTACAACCTTTGGCGGGAGTTTGAGAGCATCATGGCAGATACGTCCTGAATTGTCAATGTTTGGGTGGTAGATGGGGGTCAAGAATCGTATTTTGGGAGGCTCAAATGGGTACCTACATGTAGAAAACAGCAGGTCAGTCTTACTCAACTGTAGTAAGTGTTTATAACATGTAAATAGGAGAGAGAACACCTCCATCCATTTTAAACCTTTGAGAAAATTTACCTCTCTGGGACCTTGATCTCCAAAGAGAAAACTCCACCTTCGTATGGAGTCTCTGTTCCACCAACAATCTCTGCAACAGGGGAATGGAAAGAAAAAAATACATGATCAGGTACTATGGATAAAACAAATATGTAGCTTGTCACATATGTGATATATTGTGAGAGAACAAATGCAGTATCAGTCGTTTTAGTTTCAAAGTCTTGACACTGAGAATACTTACGAGCCCGGAGGTCGTCTATCTGTTCCTCCGTCTGCCAGCATGTTATCCCGGGAGGGGGCTCGGTGCTCAGCATCTGAAGCTCACGCTTCAATCGGGAAGCCCTCTGCATTCTGCTAATCGGAGAATGGATATGTTCATATTGACCACAAAGATAATATTCACTCAGTCAGAGGTGGAAGTAACAAAGTACACATACTTTTTCCCCAGGTACCTGTAAATTAAAGTTTTTATTTTTTTTTAAGACTTATTACTTCCATCCCTTACATTTTTTCACAAACACCTTTACTTTCTACTTCTTACTCATTACTTTAGTTTCAATGCATTTGAGGAGAAATGTGGATACTGCAGTCCTTCCCAACACCAAGACCAGTGCATATAACAAATGATATAACGTTACATTACACGACAAAAAAGATGGAGAAGCTCAGCTTTGTATAGCAACAGCCGGTAGAAATGTCATTTTACTTTGAGTATACATTTCAGAGCCTGTACTTTCTCACTTTGACGTTGAATCACTACTTCTACTCAGTTTTTTTAAATGTTTTTTACAGAAGCACCTGTTTGAGTAAAGACTGTGTGTACCACCTCTGCTCATAGTTACGTTAGCTCTGGGTTGTTCAATCATAGCTGCTAACGTTAACTCCAACTAACGCTATTTGTGAACCGCTCCAAGCAACCGATACTTAAATAATGTGGCTAAAAACTGATAGTTTGTCTGTCTGTGAGTGGAATAACGCTGTTAACTCGATGTTAAATCACAGGCACTTACGTTTCTCCGGCTTTAACAACTGTCGTCCGGTCTACAACCACTGTTTGGATAAAGTGAACATGAACACCGTCCACTCTGAACGGAGAGTTTGTTTTTACATTTCCCTCTCATCAACACTGCCCGCGTCCATCTTCTTCTTCGTCTGTTTTAATGGAGCGTATTTCCACCCAACCGGAACACGATCGCCACCTACCGTTCTATCTTCACTGCTATTTTTTTTTATTTTTATTATACTAGTTTATTAAAACATTGTTTAAACATTAACCGGCATCTCCTGGTTTGTTGGAGATGCTTGTAAAAAATATATAGTAATAAATAAATAAATCCATGTTTTTGTCTCACTTCATTGACGACTGTTTGACTTGATTTGAACAAACCAAAGTGACATGAACAGGTGGCATTCTCTCCATATCCAGCGAGGTACAGATACATTCAGAGTTGTATGTGTTAAACAAAGTCTGTCTTTAAAGACTTTATCAATGTATCTATATCATATGGATAGTTTGGTGCTGAACATTGGCACTGATAAAGGATTATTATTACACAAAAATTCAGGCCACTGTTCATTATTCCTACTGTTTTCATCTTTTTTTATACAGCACCCCATAGTTCTTTTTTTATTTATTTTCCGTCCATACTATATATATGTATGCTTGTAATATTTAACATTTGTAAATCAGTAACAGATGCACTTTTATGCCAACTTATTCATTGCTTGTAATTTGACTTTGCCCCCATACTTTCAGTACTTTTTGTACTTTGCAGTAATACATGTCTTCGCTTTGTTTCCTGAATTTTGATTTAATTTTAATGTGGCTTGGAAAATTCATGTAAAAATGAAATTCAGCTATTAAAAACAAGAGGCTAAATAATTATCATTTAACATATGTTTTTCATTTAATTATGAAACAAAGCAAATTCAATTTAAAAAATAACTTTATTTCTTTGTTTGATTTGTTTTCATTCAATATTCATTCATTCATTCATCCAAAAGCTGCTGTACAGAATAAAACCAAGTGTGAGAAATACACTCAGACATTTCTGATCAACATTACAAGTTACAACATTCACATCTTCAGAAATTATAACTTGAAAATGAACGTAATAATAAAAAATGTCACAATCACAAAAATGAGGTAGAATTATGCACACAATCACTTGCAGATTGATTTGGATCTCACTTTGAAGCACTGGCATAGATAGCCTGAAAAGTAATGCGTTCATGCTGTCTGTCTTCCATTCTGACGTCTGTGAAGCCAGAGTCTCTCAGAGCTGCCATGTAGGCCTCCGGGCGCCAGTTCCCCCCTGGCATCACTCGCTTTGCTGCCAAAGTAGCCACATTGGACAGCCGCAGCGTGGTCACCATCAGGCTTCCTGGGTGAGTTAAGGAGAGAAAAAAAGAATGACAAGTAGGAGTAAGATAGCAAATCAGCAGACCATCTGAGACAGGTTTTAATTTGGATGACAAAGGTCTTAATCTAACAATGTCAAATCCTACCTGGTTTCATTACCCGATGTATCTCTGTGGCTCCCTTCCTGAGGTCAGGCCAAAAGTAGTAGCAGTTACAATGAAAGACTTTATCCACAATGCTGTCTGCCAGAGGCATTGCTGCTACATCACAGTGGTGGAGGGTCACTTTCCCACTGGCCACAAGCTCCTTCATTCGCTCACTTGCCATCTGTAAGAGAAGGAAAAGATAAATATTCTACTATTCCAAAAGTGAGTAATGTTCCTCCTTCAAATACATTGTTGTCCCAGGTGTGTCTATTTCTTCTATTTTTTCTTAATTCCCACACAAAGAGGCTACCAGTCCACATGTGGCTAATTTAGGTGGGCTAGAGAGGCTTGTTGCTGGGTCTCCAAAAACAACAAAAGAATCTCCTTGAATTTAAAAACTTTATTCCACTCTGTCAGTATTCATACTTCACCTGATGCATGTATTCTGAATAATCCACTCCTATAAGCCGGCCTGTGGGCTCTGTGAGCAGTTTGGCTGCTGATTGCAGACCCAGTCCCGGGCCGTGACCCAGCTCCAGCACTGTATCCCCAGGCTGGATCCCACTCAACTGCACAGCATTTTCCTCAAGCACCCGGTTGCGTGCTGTGAGAAACCTACTGACCAGCCACCCTGCCACTGATCGTGTCGGGTGGCCCAACTGTTTCCCCAATTTTTCAGCCCACATCACTGGAGAAATAGGACAGAAAAGACACGTGGGTATTTTCAACACAGGTTGTTACATGGCTATTTCTTACAGATTTACAACTACAAAACCATTGTATATCATCAGTGTAAATTACAGTAGCTTGTCACATTTTTGACTATTTTAAGCACTACTCTCCTATTAGTGTAGGGATCATATCATGCAGTAAAATAGTGGTATCATGATATAAAACATATTCACTAAATGTCAGTGCTATTTTAATATTTTGGACATAATAAACTTAGTCTGTGGTATGACCCATAAGTAACTACAATTAAGAAAAAAAAAACAGCTTTCCGAGAGACTATCTGTAGAATATGAGTATACTGTATGTTTATTATTATTATTATTACATCTCCAACACTTTAACCTGCACTAGGTTTACAGGACGTTTGCAAATTAGAATCTATAAGCCAAACCTTTTCTCCAGGTATCTTTATTCTGATAATAACACTTGTAGTTACCTTACTGTCATCATCATTTGGTCACTGTATGTTAGATTGCCTCTATAGCAGTGGTTCCCAGACTTTTTAGTCTGATGTACTCCCACAACATGTCAGATAATCTCCTTCCTCGACTCCACATTATTACCAATACTACTTTTAGCTATTAGCCATTCATCCATTAGTTAAACTACTAACCATGTATGACTGTGGATAAAATAAGATTTTCTATTTTGGCAAACTATTTGAGCTACTTTAAAAAATCTTTTCACTTGGTGCCCCATGGTTGGAAATGTGTAACTGTTAAAGACAGTCGACGGTAACGTTACACTATATTGATTAGATATAGCTTACTGTAGGTGTAGGTCTACAGGCTCTGTGGTTGCAGGGGTTGTCTTGAACTACAGTAAACGGCACTACTGAATATGTTTTTATGTCGTGCTATTTGTCTGAACCTTACCCGACTCTAGTCTGAGCTGTTGTGTTCTTCCTCTTTTTTCCTGTGTTCTGGCGGTAAAATGCATTACCGCCAACTAGTGTGGACTAGCGTTATCTATCAACTTAAATACATTTCACTTAACACTAAATTATATTCATCCGCCTAGTTTCTCTCAAAGAGGCGTGTAAGAGCCATTTATCCATTTGTTTATCTTTGTGTTTATCTGGTTTATTTGACAGTGCTCACATAATCCTGAGTTTGTTTATTAGGCTTTTTGTGTTTCATGAATCCAAACTGTGTTTCCACTCTTAGATGATGTTTGTTTTGATTATTCCTTTTTGTTTCAAATCTATTTAGTGCATCCACATATTATTACCACAAATTCATATTGTTAAATCTGTACATTTAGAGATAGATCTGTCGTTGCATTATATGTCAATCCACGCACACTGTGCTGTGAGATGTTTAATGCAATTAGCCTACATTAATGCAAAATATGTGCAAAGAAAAACACTTTTTAATGTATTCCCTCCACTCTTTGGTCTTTGGTTCTGTCTCCTCATAAGGAAGTAAAAGAGGAGGAGGAGCTCCGATGGCTATTTCTGCTTTACAGGCGCTGATCTTTCCGTCTCTCATTCACTTATTCACACTCCCACTGATTTTTAATCACTCACCCCCCCCTCCACACACACACACACACACACACACACACACATATAATGATTCATTCAGATATTTAATACGCCGAAGTGTGAAAACAAACAGGGACAGGGTAATAATAAATAAATAAATAAATAAACACATAATTGAAGCTGGAGCGCGCTCCTATCAAGAGCGCTCAAATGTTTTTTGGAAATGCTTCTCTCCGGTTGCTTCCTCCAATCAGCCTGTTCTGCACTCACCCCCCCGCGAGGATTATTTTTCTTTCGTTTTCATTTCCCGGAAGGATCGAATGTGAAAATAGTAGAGTCTTCGTTGTTTTATTTAAAATGGAGTTTGGGGAGGTTTAACCTGCTGTTTGTTTCATTTATTGACGACCTGTGTGTCTGCTTATAAGGAAATTATCTTGTTTTTTTCGTACAGCCGAATAATAAAACGGCATTTCCATGGAGAACATTTCCCCGTCACCTTTGGTCAAGGTAAGTTAATACTCAGGAGCAAACCGATTCATTTTGTGTTGTCTTAAAAAAAAGGCAAACCAGAGCCCAACTGCAAGTTTTGTTTTGTTTTTTTTTTTGGGGGGATTGGGAGCTTAGTCCAAGGCCAGCTTCTGTTGTTTAGGCAAGTGAAAGTGTAGTTTAAGTAAGGTTTTAAAATCGCTCTCCATTCCTGCCTCTATCCTGCCACTGAGTGGTGGTGTATGTGTACTTATGGGCATGTGTGTGGATGTTTTGCAGCAAGAAAACAGAGCAAACAGTCCTACATCCCTAATGCATGGAAACCAAGTCAACATTCCTCGCACTGTCCATCAAACCCCCCCTTACCAGCTTCCTTTGGTCAGTCCTCCCACTCAGGAAGACCTGTGGCATCTACCTGGACAGCTCCGTGAGTCAAACCCTCCTCTCTGTTTGATATGTGCTGTGTTTATCTGCAAGATACTGCTGCATAAATAACAAGCAGCAAAGGAGATGCAGCAGCCTCTGCTGTTCTAAAGCCCAAACGCCACCTATAACAGTATGTTTTTAGAATTATGTATATTATGTAATCTTTTCTAGGAATAAACCCATCTCTGTGGGATAAGGAGGATGTGGCCCACTGGCTCCACTGGGCTCAGAAGGAGTACTCACTGCGCCGGCCCGAAAAGGGACGCTTTGAGATGAATGGTCGAGCCTTGTGCCTGCTCACCAAGGAAGACTTCAGACGCCGCTGTCCCAGCTCTGGTAGAAAAATGAGTGTCTTTGCAGAAAGAGAGTATGCTGGCTGGTTTTGTGGGTTTTTTATATGCACCCCATGTTTTCTACAGGTGATGTTCTGTATGAGATCCTACAGTGTGTAAAACAGCAAAGGAGGAGCGTTGTCTGTGACCCCCCAAATGCGTCTCCCTCCTTGGCAACTGGGAGCACCCAGAGCCCAGTCGGCTGCCACATACCCCCGCAGAGTGTCAAAGAGCCCAAGCCTCCCTCAGTCAATGGCAACCAAGGTCAGTAACGTCTAGGAATACATTTTAAAACATATACAGAATCAGTTGTATGTTGATACATACGGATAATTTGACTCTGGTTCTCTGTCTCAATTAACACAGTGCAGAGAGCAAATTAACAGGACAATACATATGCAGACATACTATAAGGGCATCTAATCTAATCAAATCTAATCAAACTAAACAAAGGCACAGAGCTAAACAAATATAATCAAACTTAAACATACAGCTGTAATATACAGGAAAGGTCAGGACAACAAACTTCATTAAGGTCAGATTGTTCTGTTCTGTTCTGTTCTGTTATGTACAGGGTACAGACATGGATGCATGGTAGTTCAAAAAACAGACACACATTATGTGTGTTGCATATACAAAAACTTGTTTATCCTGGTTAGATTGTAGCTGCAAATACTTCCTGATCCCGTTCTTACAAGTGCAAACACACCCTGCAGGAATTCTCACTCTCCCCTACGTTTGTTTCTCTGTACTTGTGAGGACATCCATATGCTTTTTATTTCCAAACTATAAAGTTTAACCCTGACCAATACATGCCTACCCTCAACCTTTATGCAGGTATGATATGAAGACTAGGGGGTATAGAAGTAATCATAATGTCAATTGAAATGTAAAATCATGTGTTTAAAAATTGAAATAAAACAAATAATTGCCACTTTCAGGGTGTTAAATGGTTATAAGCAGCATTTTAATGTTGTTGGTCTCACAGCATTACATGCTTTCAGGTAGTTTAATAAAGCTACAATACATGATATAAGATGTTTTGCATTAACAAGATTATTTGAAGCTGCACCCTTCAGATAAATGCGGCGGGCCGAAAAGCTAAATAATTCCATGTAAAGTTACACTAACTGGAAATCCTCGTTTGTCGCGACCATAAAAAAAGGTACTTTCCATTACAGAGCATGAAGTGTGCCAGTGGGTGTGTCCTGGTTACTTGGAAACCAATTATCTTACAACTCCAGAGTCCAAAACAATGACTTTGTTCTACATACTGTCTGCAAGTAGTGAAATGGCCTCTTTGTATATTGCATCAGCCATCAATGGAAAATGTTGAAGCTGCTTTAAAATCACTTTTGCTTTCATTTTAACCCTTTTTTTTTAATTCCTCATATTTCTCTATAACAGTTTCCCTTGCTTTTACAACTGCAGTGTCGGCAGCTGTTGTAACCGCTGTGACCACCCAACCACAGCCAATGTCACCTCTCAGAGATCGACCTACAATCTTTCGCACCTACACTACTCCACTCACACATACTAGTGGGTATACCAAACAATACCATAAACACAGCCTTTCTGCGAATTATTTACTCTGATTTTGGTTTCCTCTCTCTTTATTGCCCTCTGTATGTACGCTTCTCTCGCTTAGATGGAGCAGTAGCTGTCTTTACATTGCCCCACAATCAAGTTCAGTGTCCTCCCAAAACAGAGAGCGTCACCCAGGAGCCGCTCAATCTCTCTAGCCGAGAGAAGCCGAGGAGCCCACTGCACAAAGCCAACGGCCGCATCCCAGGTAGTGTTACGTTCAATTATTAAGAGTTGTACTACATTATCCACTTAGAAAATCTACAAAAACATTTTTTGTCCTAGAGAAGGTGCACACGTGTGAAAACCTGCTCATCAGTCAATTTATATTAAGACATCCATAAGATTCACAATTTCCTCACCGTGTAGCTTTGGTTTTAGTCTGCCCAAGAAAAATATCTCTCTGGCTTGCTGTGTTCTTCAGCCACATTTGTACTTCAGCTGTCTTCTCTCTGGTTTTGTATGTGAGGCAGAGCAACACACACTGGAAAACCTGCAAAGCGTTTAAAGGAGCCCTAAGAGTCTTACAGACTTATAGATAAATACATGCTTGGATATGAACAAGGCTTTGAGATAGAGTTGTATTTGAAAAACGATCAAAATGAGTTATTTTCATTATGGATTCTCAATAGAGCTTTGAATACCGATAATTGATTATAGTTGTATAAGTTTGGGTAACATGGGTCTGCTTGCTATCTTGATTATGGCCAGAGTGCAGACTGCTGTGGGACTACGTGTATCAGCTCCTGTGTGACGACCGTTACCAAGAATACATTAGATGGGAAGACAAAGACAGCCTGGTATTCAGGGTTGTCGACCCCAACGGACTGGCACGTCTCTGGGGAAACCACAAGGTGAGCACCCACGTCTGTGTGTTTCATCTCACAGGGAAAATAAACACGCAGGTGGAGAGAAAAAACAGCAAAAACATGGGGACATGGGAAGCAGAGTAAAAGTTGTACCGCAGGCCCTTGATGATGTGTGATCTCTTGTTACAGAACCGAGACAATATGACCTATGAGAAAATGTCCCGTGCTTTGCGGCACTACTACAAGCTCAACATCATCAAAAAGGAGCGAGGACAAAAGCTCCTCTTCAGGTCTCTGTCCTTTTCAGTTTGTCTTTCTCCTCCTGTCTTTTCCACATAACAACGCTCACACATTTATTGTTATGGCCTCTTCTCCACCCCCCACAGGTTTCTGAAACTCCCACATGACAACAGGAAACCACAGGCCGACCCTGCAGAGTCCCCGGAACACACTTTATTTCAGGACGGGGACTTTCCAGACAGCAGTCCTGTACCTGAGTTCAGTGAGGACCATTTTGAGGTTTCCCCTGATCGTGCTTCTCCACAGCCTCCTCCATAGAAAAAAAACATTGCATTAAATGTCCTGAATACAATACAACAACACATATTATTGCAGAGTAATGTGGAGATTGTGGTGTATTTATCTTGCGTTTTTGAGCTTAAGAGAGTAATCCATGCATATACAGGTTTAAAAAAAATGCACAGTTGTTTGTATTGTTAGGAATCTTTGCACTGTGAGATCGCTTTACATTTTGCTGTGAATCAATGTATGTATCACTGTGATCAGAATGAACACTAATATTAAAGGACAAGGAAAATGGTGAAAGAAGTAACATCAATAATAATTGCCAACAGCCAAATAATAATCATAACTTAAATTTCTCAGGCTTGCTCAACATAATTGCAGTACAAAAGTTGCACTTGTTTTTATATATTATACAGGTCTAGCAGGTAAATGGTGGAAATGACTGTGAAATTGTTCCAGTTTGTTTGTTCTTGCAGAGTAAATGCCATTTTGTACATGCTGTGCAGTTTGTTGGTTTTAAATTTTACATATAGTTTTGCTTAATTAGCTCCAAGTTGAGGCATTTGATAAGTTTCAGATGTGGAATAGCCTATAGGTAAATTGTCAATGTTTTTCCTGCTTTGTAAAATAAATATTTTGTATTGAATACTTTGTATGGTACCTCCCAAATGTGTTTATTTGCGTGCTCAAGTACTTAAATGATGTCTTGGAACATATATCACGACATTCTCAGTGATGAGATTAAGCCCGTAGGGGAATAATCCAGTTAAGACAATTGATCATTCATGCCGTGTTAATCCTTTAATGCAATTCACAAACTACTAAAACAAAGACAAAAAAAACAGTGTTATTGGGCTCTTAAAATATAGGCAATCTAAGAAAAACACACACATTCATATTGCTGCTTATTGCCTAACCCCCAACTAAAAGCTGGTATCTGTACCTGCAGGGGGTGCTGTGGTAGCATGGTAAGCAGCAGAAATTAGGACACTGCACATTTAGTTGACTTTATTGTCAATATTGTATTGCTGTAAAGGATTGACAGAGGAAGGAGAGCATCTACCCTTTACTTTAAAACAGGAAGCTGCTTCTACAGATAACAAAAACGGTTCATAGCCATTTAAGACAATCAAATAACATTTCTGTGTAAATGCCTTCACTTTCTGACAGTTTGAAGCCATGACCAGAGTGTGGTAACATGGATGGGAGCTCATTAATAAAACGTTTTTAAGAATAAAAAAAGGTAATAATGTCACGAAAAATAAATTACTCTATAGAACAGACTAAGTCTAAAACATATCTCATGTATTATATATGTATTATATCAACCCAATGACTACTTTCTTAGGAAGTGCTTTGTTGAGGGCACCCAGTTAACTCAGTGGGTAGAGCTGGTGACCCATGTACTGAGGCTGAGTCCTTGCTGCAGCGGCCCAGGGTTCGAATCCGACCTGTGGCCCCTTGCTGTGTGTCATCCCCTCTCTCTCTGCCCCCCTTTCCTGTCTATCTTCAGCTGCATCTATCAAATAAAGGCCAAAAAAAGTAACTTTTAAAAAAAACAAAGTAAGTGCTTTGTTGCACAGATATATATATTTCAATTTAAATATAAAAGCATAAAAAGGATAAAGTCAAAGATTTTCATACTAAGTTTAACCAAAATATTAATAGTTCTACTTATTTGTCACATACTCACATATATTTTTAATAACTAATAACTCATTTATAAAGCAAGTAATTTAGTTTAGTCCTTTTGGAAATTGTTACTTGTGACATCCTAAAACATGTACTTTTTGTTCATTAGTTCAGCATTGCCAAAGATCCAGAGCATTTAGTTTATTTAGTAGTATCACACGGAAGCCATCCTGAGATAAGCAAACCAAAATCATGTTAGCTTTTAGGACTAGAAACAGACAAAAAGTCATTGACAGTGTTATATGCTATATCACATGGGCATGACCAACATGGTATGTCTAATTGAGATTGGTTTAAAAACTCTTATTGTGAAACCGTCGCCCAGTTTTTACTGGACAACTCTTCTCAGTGTGCTTTGACTCGGTCTACTTTTAAAAAACAGAAGGAGTTTTTGCCACAGCACTTCCATCCTCTTCAATTATCTACAAATTGATAATTCAAAGCCTTTAGAAAATGGCTCCAGGAGTTCCCAGTTGTTATTATCGTCAAGTTCCTCTTTCCATCTCCTTCTCTGGATCAGGATTCATGGCCACCTACCAGTTAGGGGTCGCCCAGTGCTTCGTAAACTATACACCCTGGATACTGCGCACAGCACCGTGTGTTCTGGGTGCATCTGCTGGGTCTCTGGTTGCAGCTGCTGTAGCCTGTGAAATGAGCCTGAGTGAGTGACTATCATTTTTTTCTCTAAATCTATTGCCTGCAATTTTATGTTTCTGACTCAAAGTTTTCTATTTTACAGTTACGATCCGGGATGAGATGCTCAATTTTGCCAAACAGATGAAGGCTTATACTCTTGGCCCATTTAATCCCTCAATCAATGTTTTCCACTGGTTAGAGTTAATTTTACGCAAACATCTTCCTTCCAATGCACACAAACTGGCTAGTGGGCGTCTTGCTGTAGCTATGACCCGCCTGACTGATAGCAAGCTCATTGTCATGTCTGATTTCCAGTCCAAAGAGGATGTAGTACAGGTGAGTTGCTACAACAGATTCACACCCTATTGATTTGAAAGAAACCTGGACAGGTTGGTAGCAAAAAATTGACAGTTTTTAAGCATATTGTAATTATTGTTTTTTTAATATTGCCCTCAGGCTTTGCTATGTAGCTGTTTTGTGCCTGGGTACTGTGGTATACTGCCTCCATCCTTTAAAGGAGTTGTGAGTATTTGATGGCCTTTCCATAAAGTCACTTCAACACCATTTTTTGGTCTGTATCATAATGTATGTGATCTCATCTCACAGCATTATGTCGATGGGGGTTTCAGCAGCATGCAGCCACTACTTCCTTTACCCTCTCACACGTTGACGGTGTGTCCGTTCTCTGGAGAGATGGACATCTGTCCCGCCGACACACCTTCCAAGTGGGAAATGGTAGTGAGTGGGACCACCTTGAAGGGCAACCTGGCTAACAGCCTCAGGATCGTCAATGCTCTCTACCCCATGACTCTAGAGGTCAGACCCCTGTCAAACTCTCCATGTGCAGAGTTTTGTTCTCAGTCTATTAGTAGCTGTCTTTGTGGGTGAAAATGACCCATAAACTTATCTGTCAAACTAAATGTTTAAGTGAATTCTTCTCCAGCAAATAATAAGATTAATAATAGAGTTTAAAGGTGATAACCCTTTACTACAGACCTGCTATTGAATCAGTGTGAATTAAGGGCACTTATCCAACAGTAACACTGTGAAAAAGACTCTCTAAATGACCATTTATTTAATGACTTGTTTAATTCTATTTGTGTGTTGTTCATTCTCTCTTTAGACTCTGGAACAGGCCTTCGACAGTGGCTACAAAGATGCTATTCATTTCCTTCTGAGCAACAGTGGGTCAACTGTAAAAGGGGAAAAATTGAGGAATTAATGATACTGTCATTTTATTACTTGCAGAATCAATTTGACCTACTTTCTCTTTCACGTCTTCCCCTCATGTTCAGATCTTCTCCCATGTTTGATGATTCCCAAACTATCCCAAGGGCAACTTAACTATAACCAGACTAATACGTGGATGCACCTGGAGACGGACATAAAAGATGAGGAGGAGATGAAGGTGGAAAAGGAGAACGCTGCACTGACATCTTGTACGGACAATAGATGCATGCAGACTGAATTGACTGGAAATCGACCAAGTACTCTCCGTTTTGACATGGTAAAAAACGGTATGTCTGGCACACACACACACACACACACACACACACACACACACACACACACACACACACACACACACACATAACAGAGAGTGTTTAACAGCCTGCTTTGAATCTTGTTTAGATGTATAGAATTATTTTTTTAATTAACTTGGAATCTGGCTGTTTGACATGCTAGCCACTAAAAGCAGCCAGTTAACTAGAACAGCTTTTAATGACACTTGAATTTGTAAGTTACAGTTTATTTTCTCAATGCAGCATTGAGACTGAAGCAGAACATTAAGATTAAGTCTGTAAAATAGTTTTTTGTCAACATTTGTGTTTCAGTTCTGATGGGCAACATGATGACCAATCTGAGCATGTCCGGACTCCCTGTGAAAATCTTTTCCCATCTGCTTCTACCTCTCATTCTGTCCTTTTACGCCGTACTCGAGAGAAGGCACAGGTAATAAATACACTTAACACATAATACATAACACAGACAAAACTGTAAGAACAGTTGAGGACACTGAGGTTGTGTGCTCAGTAACTGAAATGTCTACATTTTGTGTTTTCAACACAAGGAGGGGAAGGAGCAGTCTTTGTATTTTCTCATATTTAAAGGACAAGTTTGAGATTTTGGGAAACATGCTTCTCTTCTCTCTGCTTTCTAGGCGAGTGTTAGATTGAAAGATTGATACTACTCCCATATGTGTCTGGTAAATATAGGGCTACAGCCAGCAACCAAAAGCAGACAGGCACATAACAGCCCGTAAAACTGCAACCTGCCATTTGTATACTCTGGTCTTGATACAGATTACGAACAAGATATAACGTGATGGGTATAGATTAGAAGATTACCAGCTGCTGGGTGTAGCTTCTTATTTAGCGTACAGACATGATCTTCTCATCTAACCCTGGGAAAATTAGTGAATAAGTGCATTACTCAATATGTCTAAGACAGATCTAGAGCCATCCTTATACACTGACTAATCCAGACTAATGCAATCCACATCATACTGTATTAACATTTTTAGAAATGTGGTTTAGGAAATTAAACTGTTTGTTAACAACTGGGCCTATATTAGAAAATTATATCTAGCCAATATAATGGCTGATAGAATAGAAGAATAGATCTTTATTGTCATTGTCACAGGTACAACGAAATTTGCTCTCCGATCAGTGCTTAATTTAGCATAAATTAAAAACATAATAAATAATAATTTAAAGAGCTAAATAACTTAAGTGCTAGTGTTAATAAAATAAAAACATATAACATAATTAGCAGCATACATAGACACACAGTCATACACACCCAGTCATTGCATATTATTTTTTTGCAGCATTGAGGGTAGTTACTGCAGTTGGATAAAAACTGTGTTTGAGTCTATTTGTCCTTGCTTTAAATGATCGGTACCGCCTGCCTGAAGGCAACAGTTCAAACAGGGAATGACCAGGATGGTGAGTGTCCTTTATAATGTTCTGGGCTTTTTCGAGGCAACGGGAACTGTGTAGTTCTTCCAGTGTGGGGAGAGGGCAGCCGACGATCTTTTGAGCGGTGTTGATGACCCTCTGGAGCACTTTCCTCTGAGCCGATGTGCAGCTGGTGTACCATACACATATGCAGTATGTTAGTAGGCATGGTAAAAGGACACCAGTAGTCTTTGTGTGATGTTATTCCCCCTGAGTATTCTCAGGAAGTACAGTCTCTGCTGGGCCTTTTTCAACAGCTCAGAGGTGTTCACACTCCAGGAAAGGTCCCCCTGGATATGGACTCCCAGGAAGCGGAATTCTGCCACCCTCTCCACACAGTCCCCGCTGATGATTAATGGTGGGATCTCTGTTTTATTTCTCCTGTAGTCTATGATGAGTTATTTGGTCTTTGAGGTGTTGAGGAGCAGGTTGTTGTCCCTGCACCATGTTGACAGCCGCTCCACTTCATCTCTGTAGGCAGACTCACCCTTCCCCCTGGAGATGAGCCCCTCCACTGTGGTGTCATCCGCAAACTTCACCATGGTGTTGCTGTGATGGACAGGGGAGCAGTCATGTGTGTAGAGGGAGTAGAGCAAGGGACTCAGCACACAGCCCTGGGGAGAGCCGGTACTGAGGCTTAAGGCCGTTGATGTGTGATGGCCCACTCTGACCCTCTGTCTGCGGTCGGAGAGGAAGCTATTGATCCACATGCAGGTCGTGTGTGGAAGCCCCAGGTCCCCCAGTTTGACTGCTAGCCTGTGAGGGAGGATGGTGTTGAATGCAGAGCTATAATCCACAAAGAGCATCCGCACATAGCTCCCCTGCTGCTCCAGGTGTGATAGCGCAGTGTGTAGTGCTATGGCTATGGCGTCTTCTGTAGATCGGTTCGCTCTGTAGGCAAACTGGTGGGGATCAAGGCTGCGGGGCAGGGCAGCTGTGATGTGACTACGGACCACTTTCCCAAAGCACTTCATCACCACTGGGGTGAGTGCTACTGGTCTGTAATCGTTGAGGCTAGAGATGTGAGGTTTCTTGGGCAGTGGGACTATGGTTGAGGATTTCAGGCAGGGTGGGACAGTGGACTGTTCCAGGGACTGGTTGAAGATCTTTGTGAAGATTCCAGCCAGCTGATCAACACAGTCCTTCAGCACGCATCCCGGGACGCCGTCAGGACCAGCCGCCTTCCTCGGGTTGGCAGACCGCAGTGTGTGCCTCACCTCATGCTCCTCAATTGTGAGGTTTATGCTGCTGTGTGCCGAGTGGTGTAGTGGTGCCTTCTCTGGTGTTGTGGCCTCGAAGCGGGCAAAGAAGATGTTCAGCTCCTCTGCCAGCGCGAGGTCACCTTCAGCAGCTTCGAGGTTGGATCTGTAGTTGGTCAGATGTTGAACTCCCTGCCACACTTGCCTGCTGTTGTTGCTGCTCAGGTGGTCCTCTATCCTCCTCCTGTAGTCTGCCTTGGCCTCTCTGATGCCCCTCTTCAGGTTAGCTCGGGCTGTGCTGTAGAGTTCTTTGTTGCCGGACCTCCAGGCGGTGTTCATCTCCCTTAGCAGCTGCTGGACCCCCTGTGTCATCCAGGGCTTTTGGTTGGGGTAGACCCGGATGCGTTTGTCCACTGTGACAGTGTCTATGCAGTTCTTAATGTAGCACAGAACACTATCTGTGAACACTTCCAGATGCTGATGTTCAAAGACCCCCCAGTTGGTCCCTTCTGATACTAACCTACTGCAGATATATCGGTCTTTCATCTGATACGTGCCGATATGGATATATATTTTTTTCCTTTTAAATGCAATGTAATTCAGTGTTGAGTGTCTTTCTGTCTCCCAGACTGGAGTCGTTTGTCAGGCAGGTGCCTGAGTTGGTGTTCTGGACTTGGCATGCCCTTAGACACTTCACATTCTTCTTTTACAGCATATTTGTCTGTACCCTTAAGAAGAACATAAATGACCGGTAAGACCGCATCCTTACATTCCATTGATCATTCAAATTGTGTATGATGCTTTCGGAATTACTGTTTACTTCTTTTGCTACACGTTTTTGGTATCTGTTCTTGCTATATACTAATATTTCCGTTGTAACATCTCATCTCATGTTCAAACCGATTGGACTTGGACTTCAACTCTCTCAAACTCTCTATGTTTTAGGATTACGCCCATCATCCTGCTGTTGCAGTGGATGAAAATTCAAGCACAACATTAGGCTCCACAAGGCACGCAGAGGCACTCTACACCTTGCCATAAGATTCCCTCTTCTGCTCATTCTGAAGATGTCGGGCATGGGATTCTACACAGACGGTTCATGACTCCATCACAGGATCACAAGAAACCAAAATTACAGTATATGTAGACAGAGTGACTGATGTTTTTAGGTCACCAAGCTGAAATGTAAACACTGTATTCTTTCTTCACACCATGCATCACTACATTTAGCATATGAGGATAACCAGTGTTTAGCATGAAGGTAGCATAGGGTGAAAACTCCTAGGCTGATCAAATTAATTTCTTCCTGCTGGAAACATGTATGTGAATAATATGGTCATAGTTTTATGCTTGTGTGGTACAGTCAGAGATTAATCTGATGTGGTGGTAGGTAAAGGGGTCGAATGGGGTTGAAATGAAAGTCTATTGGTCTGAAGACCATGCTGTACAGTTATATAATTGTAATTTTTGTTTATCTGTTTGGCCTTATGAACATAATTAATAACATTGCTTAATCTCTAAAATACTAATATAGTGTTTTACAGCATACAGTGGTTTCTGTCACCCAAAACATGAAAACTGACTGCTGCAGAATAGTGGATGTCAGGGGTTCATCAGCTGACTTGAGTGAAAAACAAATCCTACCACTAATCAGTTATCCAAAGTTTTAGTGAAACATCCCAGGCAAAAGCACTTGCGGTTTGAGTTGAGAATTTATCTCCAGGGCGCTTATCTAGAGTGTTCCTAATTTCATTTCCACATGAGAGGTGACAACTAGTCCTGTGATGTGCTATTTGAACACTGCACTCTTTCACTCCTCGTCCCCTTGTGTGTAGGCATTCGCTACCTCACTATACTGTTCATTCATTTGATATTAAGCCTCAGTGTCCTCCAGCAAGCATTTCTTGACTACAGGAAATTCTGTGAATTCAAATGACACTAGTGTTAGGTGTTAGTAACTACACATTTTATGTTGTAGGAGCAGAAACCATTGACTTTCTTTATCTCCACTGTAACATATTGTAACCAAGATCAAAGTGCTTTTGTTCTGCTGTACACTGCAAATGAATAAACTGTACTCCTTTTATTGGTTTTGTACAATATATTTTTATTGTTTTGAGCTGCGGTGTTGTTAGCTGTTACCTTTATGCCTGCTGCTACTGTTTCAGTTTGAGAAACCTCTAGCGATCAGTTAAGGTCATCGCTGAACTTTAATAATCTTTCATAATCTTGCTGTCCATGTAACCTGTTCCTCTGTAGGTCAATCTCCTTTCAGGCTTGTAACAACTCATTTTGGCCAATAAACATAAGGGTTTGGGCATCTGAAATGCAATTTCATAAAATACCCACAAGATGGAGCAGTGAGTACAAGGGTGGAACATTGTATAAATGGGTTGACTGGGAATTCAACAAGAACTGTGATATCAGACAGACAGGATCTGTCAACCAAACCCAGGCCTAGATCAAACAAGCATAAAAACAATGTTTCTCTTTGAACTCCTCGAAGCCTTTCAGATGTAAAGTTTTCAATCAAAATTCTAGTCTGGTCATTTGGATTTAACTTTTTGCCTTTGCCAGCTTTGTACACCTTACCTGCTGCTGCCACTTATTGCAGTATACTTTTCAGATGCATAAACCATTTGAAACATTGAAATAATAAATACAAATAAAAATAAAGTTAGTAGTATCTTGAGATGATCTCATGATAAACACTAGAAATGCTTCCCTGGTGTTGAATCCTTTATTAGTTAAAATATGAGAGTAATGTAGATGCATTCTGGATCTTTTTTATCTGCTGCTTCTTGCTCTGTTGACCACAATCCCACCACATTCATTCTTTTTTAAAGCATTTTAATGCCTTTATTTCTAAAAAGTACAGAGATGACAGAAAATAAAGGTCACGGTCAGTGTCTTAACCCCTTATCTACACCACACACAGTACACACTTTGTAGCTAATCCTCCTTTTACACTCCTGCCTGAATGCTAATGTGTTGCTACAGAGCTGGAATGGAACATTTGATCTCTGGGCTCCATGTCCTTTTCATACAGATGGCCCGTTACCTGCGGAGAGATCCTCTTATATAATGAGTGTGGATGGATCATACGGATAACACACACACATCTGCTGCTGTCCTACACCAGCCACTGATCCAGCCAGTCAGCCGGCAAACAGCTGGCTTTGTAAAGACAGAGACGAGACAGAGTGTGGTGTCCGTACAAATGAGACATGCGTTCAAACGTCCAGCATATGCAGAAAAAGAGCAGATTCTGTTAAATAAAAAATCATCTCCTCTCCTCCAGGACTATCAAAGGCCATAAAAATTTTATTTGAGGAAGTGACAGACACGGCTAAAATTAGAGCACAGGCTGCGCCCTGTCTCTTTGGGGATGATACCTCTAAAAGTACGTGGCCTTTTCACTAATCCGCCTGGCAACAGGGTGAACAGAGCATATTTAGGTGGCTGATCTCAAACTGATGCTGAGAGTCATTAACTCACTGCTTGTGATCAATGGAGATTGAGAGAGCACAGAGGAAAAAAGAGGATGACCTTATATGAAAAAGAGAGGTTGTGACCTTTACCTCCTGACATGCAGAGATCTCCATTGTAACACTCACACATAAATTAATAGACCATAAAACAAAACAGCCAACAGAATCACAAATTGTATTGAATCTCTTAGTAGGATGTGTGTATGTGTGTTTGCTGGTTTGAAAAAGTCCTGTGCTGTCCGCTGATAAAGGTCTTAAGATGAGGTACGAGGTAAGAAAGCACAAGAAGTCAGATGAGGACACGGAGGGAGGGGTGTTTTTCATGTCTGACTGGGGACATGAGTGAGAGATGTGAAAAGAGAAAGGGAGGGGAATTCACAAATGGCATAAAGGGGATAGCAGCAAGACCATTGTTCCCTGACTTTACGTCCCCGGCCTACATTCTTTTTAAGTCATGAATCACTGTACCCTCCACAAATGTCCCTATATTGAAACATTTCCGGTAAAAATAAGTTTCAATCATTCCTGTTCCCAATATGTCTAGACCGCAAGCCTGTCCGATGCATTTTTCACTCGCACAGTGTTTGTAATGTGTCTGTTGTTGACACCAGCTATATTTTGCTAGAGTTTTTCCAAACTTACTACACATCTGAAATGAATCCATTACCCATGGCTGTGGCTCAGCAAGGACAGCGGGTCGTCCATTATGCTCAGGGTTTGTGGTGTGATCCCAGTCTCCTCCTGTCCACATGTCAAAGTATCCTTCAGCAAGACAAGCCCCTGCTGGTTATGCTGGTGAATGGGCTTCAGATGAAGGCATATGCATGCAGTCCATTTACTGCACATTCATGAAATGTTTACAGTAGCCTAGAGAAAAAAGCCTGAGTACATGAGTGGAAACATGTAATGCAGACGCTTCCACACTGTCCATAAGACATGTGATTCACATAATGAAAATCATGTGATTCATGTGCAATGGCCTTGGCAGTTATCCGATCTAAACCCAATGAAGCACCTATTAGGGTTAGGTATTAGGTATAGAATGATCTATATTAAGATTATTATATTCGCCACCATCATCATAACACAAAATGAGTGAATCTCTTTTGTAAGAATTGTTTCTGATTCTCCAGGAGCACTGAAATGGTTCTCGAGGCTTGTGGTGGAACAACACCTTACTAACACAGTATATAGTTTTTTCCTTTAATTCCTTTCATCTAAAAATGTATAATTTCTGCCACATTTGGTTTAGGCTGGTTTGAAGTCTGTGTGCATGTATGCAAGCTTGTGTTTGTGTGGCCTCTGATTTATATAATGATTGTATAGATATTTGCTCAGTTTATTGTACATTTAAGTGTGTCACTGCATGTGTCAGAATGTGTGTGTGTTTGTGTGGTAGAACTATCAGTCAGAATGAGTTATTCTATGTTTTTTTTGCCAAAAGCCTTTTAACTCTCATTATCCCATATAATCCCATCTCATAAACACACAGATAGGACTCTTTCTCCTTTCTCCATATCACATGCGCACAAACTTTGTACTGCTAGTCACTTTACAGTTTGTCTGAAAGGTCCACTGATTAAAATAACATTGTCATATGTCAGTATTATTGTCAACAACTGTCTCTGCTATTAAAATGAATCTAACTGGAGGGTAAATTAAATTGGTCTATATTCACTTTGGTCTAGAGTGAAATATGTTTGGATGGATTTAGAGCTCAGAGGATGAATCGTACTGATCCGTTAAACTTTCCTCTAGCGCCACCAGCAGGTCAAAAATAAATAAATAAATAAAATTAGAATTTATGTAGAATTCCCATCATCCACAGCTGTACTTTGGTGCTAATTAGCACATTTTAGGTAACATGCTAAACTAACATTATACCTGCTAAACATCAGCACCTTAGCATTGTTATTGTAGGCATGTTAGCAAGTTAGCATTTAGCTCAAAACACCCCACAGCATGACCACAGACTCTGGTCTTAAATTTGGTTATTATAACCATATAAACATGTCATCTTAACAAATTTTAAAAAAGATATAAAAGTTCTAGAAAATTCTTCGGCTTAAGAAGCCTTGTGTGACCAACTATCACTTTGGGTTTGTTTGTCTGTCTTGAAGATAGGTAATCTGTGGGATCTGGAAGGGATAATTTAGATTAATTCTGCCCACTCAATCAACAGACCTAAACAGATGTTGCCAGGTTTTACTACGGAGCACAACTTGCATGTTTTAATGAATGAGTGTGTTTTTTCGTGTCAATGTGTGTGCGTGTGTCCCACGTGGATCTCTTAGACCCTCAGCAGGAACCTGTGATCCAACTGAGTAATAAACAGCAACAGATTGACAGTTCTCTGCTGCTAATCCTGTCCTCCTCCACCTCCTTCGTCTTCTAAATTTAGAGCCCAGTTGATAAGATGAAGAAATACTGTCTTGATGATGATGCCAGGCACTAAGGCAATTCCTTGTAAAACAGACTGGCAGCACTCCATTTGTCTTAATTCTGACTGCTTCACTCTTCACCTCTCTCCTCTGTTGACATCTCAGCACTTCATCTAATCATCCTTTTAATTTAGAAGGTATTTCCTAGTGAGCCACAGTGTAATGCCCGTAGGTTCAAGACTAAAACCTTCAAGATTTTACTTTTAATAATCAGTTCATTTTTTGTACATATTGCATATAGTGACAACAATCAATTATATCAGCATGCTATTTGCAATACATTTCATGATCTTTTCATTTTTACTTAATTTAAGTTGTATATTTTTGAAGATGTCTTTCCAGTGAGAAAAAAATATCTGTTTCTCAATGATGAAAATGATATACAATTGTAGCATTGTAAAATTGGTTTAATGAAATATGACTAATTCTTTTCCGTCATACTTAATCTCTGGAGTAGAGACAACAAGCAGTAAGAGAAAACTCTGGGCATTAGTTATCTTCAGCTTGTAACCACTTTACCACTTAAATGTGTCCCATGACTGACTGCAACGAAACACAGTTCTGTTCTGAGTTGGTTTCGAAAGAAGATGATTTATCCACCACTGGCGTATTATTCTCTCATGACTGGTAGATAAGTGCATTTTTTTTAACCTTTTTTAGCCAGGGTACACAGAATGATATTCTCTTTTTCCAGAATACCCCGCTGATGCAGTTATTTACTTACACAGTTAAACACATTACATCCAGTACAACCACAGCCTGATGTGCTGGCCTCAGATGCTCCAGTGGAGCATTTGTGGGTCAAGAGCCTTGTTCAGGGACAGCTCAGTGTGGAGCCAAAAACATTCATGCTATTCAGTTTAATAACCAGCTTCTTATTCATTTTTCCTAGAATCTCAATTCTTTTTTAAATCAAGTGGCAACTAGAGATGGTTTTATAGTTTCTGTTTTGGCCTTACATTTAATTCAGTGAATTGGCAATATTATAACAAGATATATTCTAAGTTTTTGTTCTTATTCTGCTTGTTCATAATTGCCCATCCAGGAAGTTGTTGTGACGGAAGTTGTGAAAATAATCACTATTATGCAAACAATTTGAATATTCAGGCCACAGATTGGGAAACCAAACATCAAAAGTGTGAACATTTTGTTACAAATGAATGAAATGTGATGTTCACTGTGCTATTATAAGCTGCAATCTGGAGCTTGCCTATACCGTGTGTGCACAATAACAGAGGGCACCAGTCGCAGTTAATTATAGATGAAGACGCACACATACACACCGAGTATGACGCTCAGAGCAGGGAGGCCCTATAGCTTGGACATAAATAAACTGTGTTCCAGTTCTTTCCTCTGTGTCACACAAACTCTCTCTCCATCCTATTGTGCCCTCCTCTGTCTGTCTTCTCACTTGCTCCCCATATCTCTCACTCCAGTGTGGAACTTTCCATCAAAGCATCTCGTTAATGATAAAGCACTCTCATGCATCTTTAAGCACTTGACAGGGATCTTCCACAGTGCAGTTTCAGCCAAACTCACACACGTACACCTTTTGAAAAAGTCAACAATGTCGTTTAGGTCATTTGCACTTGAATAATAAAAGGGAGAAAGGTCAATAAAGAAAATGTACTTTAACTTAACTGCATCCGTATGGACTATAAAACACATAATGGGAATTCCTGTTTTGGCCCAAATTTGTATCTATGTAATGTGTAAATTATATGAAAGTGTATATTTTTGATGTAGTTCTGTGTGTCAGTTTATGTGTGTGTGGGCCTTTGGAAGCAGTTAAACAGTTTAACCTCATGTGGTCCAGGCAGATTAACTTTAGACACTGCATGCAAAAGATAACACTCTTACTGTCACCAAAACAAACAGGATCATGACTGTTTGGGCAAAAAAAAAAAAGTCTTGAATCTTCCTGATCCAGTCGCACAAAATGTTTGACCCACACTGCTGTTGTTGGCTGTTGCTCTCAATCTTATTATGTGTTTAAATTCCAATGCGTTCCTGTTTTATATATACAGTATGTGTGGGAGTGCTACTTACATATGTAGCTCAGTGCAGGATTTGGTGTATGTATATATGTTGATGCATAGCCCCCTTGAAGTTACAGTAAGAGACAGACAGCCTTCAGTTAAAAAAAAAAAAGTACACTGCATGTTGCTTACATCACCTCATAAACAAATAAACAAACAAGCAAAAAATATATTTTTGATAGAGTGATTATCTATAAATTGTAGATTAGAGATTAGAGATTGATAACTTTGGGGAACAGTTTTGAGGTGAGAAACTTAAATATCAAAAAAAGTACTTTATAAAATGTAACACTTTTTATGTTAACCCAAATCCAAACTATTTGTATAAATTTGTAATTTCAAATATAATTATATATATTATACCGTATCTATTTGTTTACACATGTGGAAAGTAATCTGGAATTATCTATTATTGACTTTGGGTAATCCCTTGGATTACATTACCGATTACAATTTTGATGAGGTATCTAGTGGCTGTAATGGAATACAATTTTAGTGACCTACCCAACCTCTCCGGGGCTGCAGTCGGATTGACTGGCTGTAGTTAAAACCCCACAGTGCCATGAGAATATGTGACACACACATGCACACACATGCACACATGCACGCATTCTGGATAAATCACCAGAAAGAGACACTAGGATTAATATCCAAAAGCTGTTTTATTCCTCTGTGATATGATGCAATATCTGGATTTAACATTTCAGATGGGGATGTCCTTTTCAAATTTGAGTCTGAGGCTTATTAGTGTTTAGAGTCAAAATACAGCTGATATTGCAATCTTAGAAACCTGGACCATTGTCACAGACAAAGATCCACTCTTGGAAAACGTCATTCTAAATCTGTCAAATTGTGTTAGTAAATTGGTTTAGCAGTAAAAATGAAAGAAATCTTTGAACAATCGTTTTCTGTTAACTCAGAGCAAAAATGACAAGCATAAAAAATATGTTTGATGGGGATAAACGATTACATAGTCTGTGCATAGATAAAGACGTATTTTGAGTGACAGGGATAGAGAGAGAAAGAGGGATCTGGAAAGGCAGGAAGATGAAAGGACGCTGGGTGCTGAAATTGTCTTTTTTGGGTAAAAGTAAATTTTAGGTTAGTTCTTCCCAGACTTTTATTGAAGTACAGTGCCATTATCAGCATAAATTTGAAAGTTTCTGTATGTTTCTGTGTTAGTTTGTATTGTGCAAATAAAAATTAAAGTTAAACTTTATTCAAACTGCTAGAGGTTTTATTCAAACTGCTAGGACAAAATGCTTTCCAAATATACTGAAACATCTCAGGAACAAGATAGGCTTCTGCATGTTTTGAATTTGATTTCATGTTTTACTTGATGAGCATCGCCAGTTTTTTCTTTTCTTCCCTGTCAAAAACCTGTCTATTTAACTTTAAATATAGCACCACGGCACTCTTGTTTCTTCCTAAATTAATCAGATTAATAGACCTTTTTCAGAGCAGACATTGGTGACAGACAAGCACTGGTGGAACAGATAACATTAACAATGGCTTCGGCACAGCAATTATTGAAATGCACTGCAGCAATTACTGTAATAAGGTTCTGTGTTTTACATGTCAAAACATCAATTTGTGGAGCACTGGGTTAGAGTCAGAGATATACACATTTTATGCAGTTACTGTTTCTAAATAAAACTACAAATAAATAGCACTAACCAGGACAGCTGACATGTTAAAGTTAAAGACAATGAACTGGCTTATAATGTTTTAATGAACACACTCTGTTTCTCTGGCATGTTGTCTGCTGGAAGTGGAGTCTCCGGAGAGTGATGTGACATCCTGGCATCATAACTCTCTACTATTACTGACACAAGAACTATTAAAATATAATGTTGAGTGAACAGTGTATCTCAACTCAGACTAAATAAAAGAATAAAGCAGTTCCTTTAGGGAAAAAGCATTTGAGAATGTTAAATTAAACACTGCTAAGAATACAAACTGTGTGTGTGTGTGTGTGTGTGTGTGTGTGTGTGTGCCAGAGATCGATTTCAACTGTAACCTATTTCCGCACCTGCTTGTAACATATCTATGTGGCTGACAGTCCATTACCAGAAACTAGGTAGCGTGTGAACTCCGCTCTCGTCTCCTCCCAAGTGTCATTCAGCCCTCCTTTCTCTCTTTTCATCAGCAGCTCTATTTTCACTCTTTGTCCTTGGATGACCCTCATTTCCTATGGCCATGTAGTAATAATCTGGGTCATACATAAACTCATAGTTTAGGGTTCCTGTTGTCAGGTTATCCTGGAGGAAATGCAACCAGTTATACTACAACAGTCTGGGGAGCAAGCGTTGCCCAATAAAACTAATCTGCTCTTTTTCAGGAACATTCTGAGAGTCTGAAATTGTGTTATTGTTCCAAACCCTGCATAATAAAACAACAGTTACAATATGACACCGAATAAAATTCAGCTCCAGAGTTGCCTGTGAGTACATCTTAATCTACATTGTTAATTAGACATTTCTTGAAAATCAGAAGTTGCTCTGATAATATCGTACATATAATATTATTCTTTATCACCAAACACTAAATCTAATCTGTTGCTTAATTTTAATCTTCTGCATGAACATGGAAAGACATACCATCTCCTCTGATACCGCAGGAATGTGGCCTCATTCACAGTATTTTCTACATCTAGGTTTATGTTTATTTATATCTATGTATATTTATGTGTGAGTAACATACAGCATGTTCTTCAGCCACTAACTTATGATGCATATATGGACCCTTACTGTAAAATGCACAAGTACATCTGAACCTGATTGCCCGGCTTTTAAAATATGAAGAGTCTGATACAAATTCATGGAAATTAAGTCACTCACATCATGTTTATGTGTTATTATTTTTCTTCGATCAGTTGTGTGACGTAGATTGCTGTCATCAGACACCGTCTTATTAGGGCACTGATTAGTATTCCTAGAAACATATATTTCACTTCGCCCACCAGCTTCCTACTAGGAATATGTGTAATACAATTTGTATCGTTATAAAGAAATCCGACGCACTTCTTAGACAATAAGGAGTCTGTTTCTTTTTACACTGCATCACAGTTGAAGTATTTTAGGATCCCCTTGGTGACTGCAAGATATTGTTTAATATAATAAATAAAATGGGGCTATTATGTATTATTATAGAACCATGTGAAGTTCCTCCACAATCAATTGCTTTAAGTATTTACTGAATCTATACGTTAATCTTACAGAAGCTTTTCTCGGCCTGAGATGAGGTGTTGAGGTGAGTCCAGAGAGAAACGTATCAGGTGAAGCTAGCGAGCATTAATAGGTAGCAGACTACTCCATGTCAACCAGCAACTGGCATCCTGTTGTTGTCTGGATGACTTCCAGTTATACGGTCGCTGCACTGCCACACATGCCTTGTTGATGTGACCTCTATCTTTGTGTGTGTGCGTGTGTGGTGCACTAACATTACAGTGAAAGCAGAGACAGGTTACTGAAAGTAATGACGAAATCTTCCCTGAAGGGGAACACCGATGGAGATAAGGAGAGGAAGGAGAAAATACAAACACTAACTTTTCTCTCTCCTCCTCTGTCCTACACACACCTTTCTATAGACACATCAGAGCACATAAAACACTAGAAGACATAATTTAAAATCCCAGAATATATTGCATCCATTACAGTAAATTGCATACTGAAATGTTATCATACATACAAATACAGTGTAATGGTCTTGTTGGTGTAATAAACCTTGGACTGCTGTAGCCCTGACGTTACAGGTTACAGGCCGGTCTGTCTCTGAACTCATTATACAACAGTGACTATACAGACGAGGTACTGACTATATCATAAAAATTGACATCATACTGTATAATCATCATCACCATGAAGCTGATGGTCAAACACACAGAAAACACATAAATATAATATTAGCTTGATCATATGCTCAACCAGAAATTCAGACTAAAGTCTAAAGTTATTTTGAGATAATGTCATATTCCTGGATCTCAATTAACAAGTCACTTATTGTTCTTTCCAAGATTTCTTTTATAAGAGGAAAACATATTTTAAAAGAAATACTCTCTAACTTACCACCAGAACATTACACTGATACAGCATAATTTACAATTACTCCTCCAAAATATCATGGGACATTTTGGCCTATAATGTCTCATGACCCTGTAACAAGTTCCCTTTATTCCCTTTATTCAGCAATTATCTTTGGCTTCTTTCACTTTCCCCATGTTTTTCTGATCAAAGTGTGACTGAAAGGTTTACTTCCTCAATAAGATATCCACTAGTTGACAAAAATAATGACGTTTAAAACATGAAACCCAAACATTTTGAAGGATAGTAACTACCTCATAATCCACTATACATCAAATTGTATTTCAGGTCGGAATGCATTTCTTTGTTGGTAAATAATGCTCACAAACAAATGCTAGAATGGAGAGAGATTACAATTTCTACATTTTCAACCAAGCTGAAATAAAAAATACTGAGCATATATGCATGATAAACATAGGTATTACTGTAAGATTATGTATGGCAAATTCAACAGTATCCCAACATTATATAACTTAAGGCACTCCATTATAATACACAGTGTGGAGTCAGTTAGACTGCTAACAATAGTGGAGGATTCTTACCCACGCTACTGATCAAAGAGAATGAATAAATACAATAGAGTCATGATACATTTTTAAATAAATAAATACAGTAGGGTCATAATCTAGAGACTATACACATTTGACTCATATACAACACTTACAGGAAAATTGTGTTTGGGATTTATTATGCTTTTGTTTATGTTATTTCTTTACAACCTTGGTCGTACGTGTAGGCTTGGCCTTCATTCCTATCTGTTCAGATTTTTGTTATCTGCAGAATTAAATCTGTCTAAGACCCATGTTTTATGGCCCCATAACACTTTTAAAGTGTAACTAAACCCCTAAATTCTTATAGCTTTCTCCATCCCAAAATGGGATATAATTTGTATATCCTTGACTTAAATAGCGGGGTGGGGCCATGTGGCTACATATTGTGCGACGTGGAAAGTAACACCGCCCACCATTCTCAATAGCAGGAGTACAGCTGCAGGTAGTCAGAGATAACAAGCCATGAGCAGCTGCTGTCAGACTCTCCATGTCCGCCCTGGAAACACAGGGAGTCTGCTGGAGCTATTACAGTCACTAGAAGAACATTTACGATGTTCTTCAAAGTTAGCAAAGCTACGTTAACTAAACCAGCGTCTGGAATCAGACTCTCCATGTCTGCGCTGGAGCTTTGACAGTCACCAGAAGTCCATTTATAGCCGTTGTAAAAGTTTTTGTGAGGTTGTGTAACATTAGCTAAACTAGCGACTAAACACTCCAGAGAAAATATGTAGAATTCAAATACTTTACACTAAAATGTGAACGTAAATTTGAATCAATCAACAGTATGTCTTCAGCAGACAAATGTGATTTTTGGCTTTAGTTACTCTTTAGGTATTTGTGGCCAAAATGGTCAACAGTGAAGCTGGTGTGCAAAATGTTATATGCTATAGGATTAATGACCGAGACAATAAAAATATGACCAAAATTATAAAGAAATCCTTATAATGTACTGCTGAACTATAATAATGAAGATTTATTATATTTCTACTCAACTAAAGAAAGAGTCCTAACACAAAGTAGACTTGAAATATGTTGACATACAATTCTGAACATGAACTGAATAAATTCTCCCGCTTGTCTATTGTTATTTTCAATGTAATTTTCATATTAGACACAAAAGAGGTAAGTACAGCATATCCTGTATATCCATATAAAACAAATTTTTCACTAGGTGCAAACATTTTATCTCACCAGTACCATTAAGATTGGTTGACGGAAATCATAACAGTTAATTTTCTCCATACTCTCTTCTTCTTTGTTATGTCTTTCCTGCTGGCTTTCCTGTGGCAAAGTCTCTCCTCCTCCTGTCCTTCCACAGTTATTCCCCTTTGTCACTCTGCCAGATGCCATTGGCTTTATTGAGCGAGGTGTTGCTACCCTCTTTGTTACTTGTCTCAACATTCATGGCTTGCTCAACAGCATCTGCCAAGGGCAACTTGTCCTCTGCTTCCGTCTCTCTGTGGTAGAAGTAGTTAAAGTTGGAAACAATGACGGGAACAGGCAGAGCAATGGTCAGCACACCTGCAATGGCACACAAGGTGCCCACCATTTTACCACCCATGGTAATTGGACACATGTCCCCGTAGCCTACAGTGGTCATGGTAACCACAGCCCACCAAAAGCCATCAGGTATGCTGACGAACTGTGTGCTAGGTTCATCTACCTCAGCAAAGTAGATAGCACTGGAGAAGAGGATGACTCCGATGAAGAGGAAGAAGATGAGCAAGCCCAGCTCACGCATGCTGGCCTTTAGAGTCTGTCCCAGGATCTGCAGGCCCTTGGAGTGACGTGAGAGTTTGAATATACGAAACACCCTGACCAGACGGATGATACGCAGAATGGCCAAAGACATGTTCTGTCCTGAGTTCTCTTGCGGTGTTGAGACAATTTCTGTAACTACAGTAACAAAATAAGGGATGATAGATATAATGTCAATCGTGTTCATGAGATTGTGGAAAAATTCCTTTTTGCTTGGACAGACCAAAAATCTCACACACAGCTCAAAGAAGAACCATGCAATGCAGGCAGTCTCAATGATGAAAAAGGGATCAGAGAAAGTTGTTGGCTTTACGCCAGATGGAGCCACAGAAGTGTAAACGCTAGATTGGTTGAAAGGCTGTACCGCTGTGGGCACAACTGGGTCACTTTCATCTCTGAATTCTGGCAGTGTTTCCATGCAGAAAATAATGATGGATATGACAATAACAAAAACAGACACCAGTGCTACACCTCGGGCTGCATTTGAGCTTTCTGGGTACTCGAACAGCAGCCAGAATTGCCTGTACATGTCATTATCAGGTAGAGGGATCTCAACATCCTTTATGAATCCTTCATCTTCTCTGAACTGCTCCATGGCGTCACTTCCAAGCTCATAGAACACAATTTCATCTGCAAACACATCCAGGGGAACGTTAGCTGGACGTCTGACCTTACCCCCTGACTGGTAGTAATACAAGATCCCGTCAAAGCTGGGTCGGTTCCGATCAAAGAAGTACTCGTTCCTCATTGGATCAAAGTAGTCCATCCTTTTCAAAGGATCTCCTAGAAGAGTCTCAGGAAACTGGTCCAAAGTTTTAAGCTGTGTCTCAAAACGAAGGCCGGCAATGTTGATGATGACTTTCTGGTCTCCATCATCTAAACCTCGTTTATCTACAAACAGATCCTCACAGCACTCCTTTGCAAGCCGGCTGAAGATTGTCTCACTCTCCTTAGTGCCCTCACTGTTTAGCAGCAATTTCCAATTGGAGATCATACTGGCACAGCTACTGCGCCCCTGTCTGCTTGGAGTTGGCATGGTTGGGGACTGGGGTACTTCCAGTGTCTGTGTATGTGGAGCGGGTGAAGATGAGGTGGACTCCCACATGCAGGAGGGCACATGACTGTGGTGGGAGGGCGTAGAGGACAGTTGAGAGGTTCGCAGAAGGTAGTTGCTGCCCGGGCTGGTGTGCTCTGGGGGCATATCCACGGTAAGAGCTGTGGTCTCATCAGCATAGGTGTCCACCTCATCCTCAAAGCTCCCGTTGAGGTCTACTAGGCTCTCAAAGTCTACCAGCGCCACCTCCATGGCTGCAGTTCAGCCAGTGCAAAGCCGTGGGAACCCAGGATAAGACAATCACACACACACAGATGTATAGATGGGAGGCTCAGTCACCAGAATGAGCAGTAGGGTACCAGAGCAGCCGTTCTTCAGCAGCACTTACAGCAACGGGACAACTTGTTGAAAGCCTCCTCTATTCTTCAGTCCCTCCAACACCTATAGAGTGAGAGACAGAGAGAGAATGAGAGTCAGTGTGTTTCTGTCAATGGTTTGGAGGGTTTGTTTTGTGTTAATTGTCATCAGGCGACAAGAATATGACGTTAGAAAAGAACATGTTTTATCATGACTCTTTGTTTCCTAGATACCCATCCCTCTGGTTACCAACAGTGAGAAAGGACAAGGGAGAGAGGGAAATACAGAAATGATGGAAGAAAGAGGAAGAAGAGGGCAAGGCAGCTAGATGAGGGAAAGAAGGAAGAGATTGTAACAGTGGCAGGACAAGATTGTACTTTTCTTGATAGAAAGACATAGTAGAAACATTTGCTATTTCTCTCTACAGTCTGTTATTGTGGAGGCACTACGATGAGTCATGTAACTGTGAAAACAAGAAACATAAAACAAAACATTAAGTATTTGGATGTAAGTGTAAATAATTGAGGCCTTATGTGTGTTCAAATCACTTGTTGGTTTAAACTTGTGATATTTTGTACCCAAATAATTAAACTCTCCTTATCTACTGCACACACATAATATCTCTTATTACTTTATACGCTCACTGTCATCATGTCAATAATGTGCACACACATTATTTCTCTGTCTCACACGTAAACATGCGTCATAACACCTGCTCAAGGGAAAGGGAATCAAGGCACACACCCTGTAATGACCCCAATGCAAGTAGAAGGAGAGGATAGTGCAGGGTAACTGGGGCTGTGCATACATTAGTGCATAATTAACTGGCTGTACAGTGATAGCATGAGCCTAGCTTCCTCCAAACACCAGGGCTCACATTTAAACTGCACTGTGCCAAATAATTTTTTTGTAGAAATCCACTCTGCTCCTATATTGTGCCATCTGTTTCTGCACTCAAATTTACCCGAGCTTGTGTGACTTTACACCAGCATAAAGATTCTAATGCTCTCTGAGGTGTGTACGCATTAGTGTGAATGCATTTATTGAATATGCATCTGTGTGTGTGCAGTGCGCTGTGTGCTTATACTGTAGATGTGTGTATGTTTATGGCCGAGTGCTGACGCCTGCAGATGTTTAATTAAAGACTCCCGAGATGAGTCACCACCTAGCACCAATGCCAGTGATACCAATCCTGCTGGGAGACAGAGAGAGAGAGAGAGAGAGAGAGAGAGAGAGAGAGAGAGAGAGAGAGATGGGCCAGCTGAATGAATAAGGGGGATGACAGGAAAATTGTTGGGAAGACGGATGGGGGTGGAAGGACTGGGTGCGATGAGGACAGAATGCAAAAAGAAGGAAAGTGACAATGAGACAGAATGGGAGTTGATAGGTGGGTGGGTGGATAGACAGGATGATGAGAGAGCAGCCATGACAAGGAAAGAGGGGGGTTTATCAAGAGCAGAGGAAACAGATGGCAAAGAGCGGTAAAAGAAACAAACACTATGATAAATTGTTCATACAAAACTGGTAAAGGTGTCCAGTGAGAAGAAGTTGGAAACTTAAATACATGGAGAGTAAAATTGCAACATTTGATGAAAATCAAATCCAGTTCTCCTCTCCTCTCAAACCACATGGCCAGAATGACATGATTTGACCTTTTGAGCAACCCGAACTTTCTCTTGATCCTAAAATGCAGTAGCAGCTGCAAACAAGTACACTGGCAAGACATTTACTCTTAAGACTAATACCTGAAAATTAGACAATGATTTTGCACTTCATGACCTATTCCTAATGTATTTCCAATAACTCAATATGCTATCAATATTTAATTTAGCTTAATGTAAGACAAAGAACAGCCAACTCTTAAATGCCTCTCTCTGTAATGTCTGCTCTGACACAAGATCATCGCACTGATTCAGCTATCTATCTTTTATTTGTAGAGCCCATTATCTGTTGAGACAGATTTTCGGTTAGTTAGTAGGTAGTTAGGGTAGTTCAGTTTTCTCTCAAAACAAATCAGACTTAAGACACTGAAGAAATGAAGGAATTGAACTAATTTCAAAAGCTGCCATTCAAACTCTGCCCCCTGGACTCTTAAAGGAAGAAACAAGGTAATAAGACCTTCAGTATAAACTTCCCAGACAAGCTTATAGACAGAGTAACAGACAAGCAACACACTCCTTACCTTCCTTAGCAAGAAGCCTACAGAGAGATGTGTCTACACAATGCTGTAAAAAGCAAAAACAGGAGAGGGAGAAAAGGTTTCCTCCACAAGTTCTGCTTCTGTTCCTCAATTGGCATCAGTATGACTAATCTATCACAGACTGCATTGAGTAACCTAATGCTGGAGTAGAAACTAGAGCTGGGGCCAAGGCCACATGCACACACACGAAACATGCAAACAAGCATGGACACAGGCCGCAGACAAACAGAAAAGCAGTAGGAAAAGAAAATCTGGCATTAAATGTTGCTTCATTGACATTTTCTGTATGCATGTGTAAAATATGTAAGTACTTGTGTTTGTGTGAGTGTATGTGTGTGTGTGTGTGTGTGTGTGTGTGTGTGTGTGTGTGTGTGTGTGTGTGGGGCCATGTGTGACATAAGCCATCTCTCAGTGATCTGGACAATGTGGTCAAGGCCCTCTAGACTGGAACAATGCGATTAGATCCTCAGATCTCTCCATGCTTGACTCACTCACCTACACACACACAGGTCGTATCCATAACTGATTTATTTACTGTATTACAATAAATAATTGATGTTTAACAACTCCATTAACATGTTCAACACAGCGGGGTAGAACAAATGGTGAGAGAGTTACATGGACAGAGGAAACAAAGCTCCCTTCCCCACAGAGCTTTCACTTCAACTCTTTAACTATAAGCTCTTTCTAAGCTGAACACCTTCATAACAGACATTTTTAATGACGTTTAGTGTAATATCTTCCATCACAAGAGCAGGGGGAAAAAATTAGAAATTGAATCTCTTAAGGGGGGCCCAGGTATTTTTTTGTCATAGATGATCTTGTGTCAAATTCCAGGGAGTGACACTCAGACACACACGACCATACCTCCCTGTCCTCACGCTGTAAAACATATATGTACACACAGGCATGTAAGGAAGCTGCCACTCCTCTCTCATAATTCCAGAGCATGTGTGAACAACTAGTCTTGTCAGCACTGTTGAATCAAAATGTCTTGTTTAATTGTGAGATTAATTAAATCCTGCTTTATGCCCCTAAATTTGACTTGTCACTTCTATATTTAAAAGTACCCATGCTAGGATATACATTTAAATTTTTTTCCAGGCTCAGTAGTGTGATTTTCAGAATGAACATTCTCCAAACCACAATAAAATTATGAATGATCAATTGCATGTGTAGTAGATAAAGGATGGATGCATGCTCAAACACCAAAACACAGACTCTTCTTATTTGTAATGGCATTGAAATTGATACTAATGTTGACATTCTGTAATTCTTTTTCCACTTACTTCCATTTAATTAATGACAACATTAAAAAAGAAGACAAAGCTGGCTCTCTGAAATTATGTGCTAAAGTCTTGGATTACAAAAATTTAACAAAGTAGCGGGCAAGTAATAGATTTGGGGGGTTAACAGGGCATGAACAGAACTGAAAAGAAGAGAATGAATGAAAAATGAATAAATAATGAACAGCTAAGATATACATAATTCTACATATACAGTATATATTGTCATACATTGACATATGCATGGAAAAAGACTCTGCTCTAGCAGTGAGGACAAAATGCTTCTAAGGAGGCACTGTGACCTTGACTCGTGTTAGGACAGCGTAAAACAGAGGTGCCATATGGGCCCCATGCCGACCCATGGTGCTCCGACTATTCTTGCCATGCTATTAACACACAGAGGGGAGTAATAGTGGGTGAAACCCATGAGATAATAACTTGCTACATGTCACACTCCAATGCACACAAATACATCCACAGCACACAAACAATAGGAAAAAAAAACGACATGTGGGACAATATGGAAATCTCCATCGGAAATATGGTATTGCATGCTGTGCTCAGTGACTGTACATTATAGAAAGCTTACCGCTGTGACTTTACCACATGTTTGTAAACATGAACAGATGTTCAGGCAGATAGCTTAAGCCAATCCTTTGCTAGCTGGTTGGCAAGAAATGCATTTATCTCTCCAATATTTACCCTAAAAATAAAACCTTGTATATACATTTACTAACAAATATTCTCTTCTGCTTTGATTAATAATTAGATGATTGCTAAATAAAGCACTGCAACACCACTGTCACTGTCTCAAAATGCCTCATGCACATGCAGCTACATGCAAAGGTAAAGTAAAGTTAAAGAAATGCATATCATCTTTCAGTACAGTAATGTAGTGTGAATATGGATCTATTTCTGCATTCCTGTTCAAATGTACAAACACACTATCATGCACACAAAAAAAACATAGACACTCTCTCCATCTGATTTTAATTATGACACATTTTTGCTGCCTCATCATTAAGAGTTGACTTTAAAGCTTTATGTTTTACTGAGGAGGAACAAGACTGCTGACTTCAGATCATTTTAAGCATAAAGGATAACACAATAGTTAGCCGGTTTTTATGGGTTTTAATTGTGTTATTTTGTATTTGCATGTGTTTATGTGTGTCCTCAGTAATTCCACTCAGGCTTGAGGCTTCAGAGGTTTCATTAAAATTTCAAGTGATCGTTTGCTTGCAGCTGATCCTGTTGAGTATCCCACATTTCAATCTAAGTGGACCTGCTTTTGTTATATCTGATCATATGATCATCAGTCACCTCATCAACATGAATTGAAATTGCCTTTACTTTCGCCAGGTTTTTTTTAATTGAAGAACTACAATTATATGTTTTCAAGTCTTTAATACTTTTTAGTAATACTTTCTGATTTCTAATATACATAACTTGACGGTAATACACTGTACTCAGTGAAGTATATGGCACCACAGTGTACTAAATACTCTGCAAAACTATATACTGTAAAAACTGTACACTATGCTGTTAAAGCTTAAAGCTGCTGCAGCTGTTTTAATTGTACATGCCTCCTGCTTAAAACG